ACAGACAAACAGACAGACAGACAGACAGACAGACAGACAGACAGACAGACATACAGACATACAGACAAACAGACAGACAGACAAACAGACAAACAGACAGACAGACGGACGGACAAACAGACAGACGGAGAGGCAGGCAGATGGACAGACAGACAGACAAACAGACGGACGGACAAACAGACAGACAGACAGACGGACAGGCAGGCAGATGGACAGACAGACAGACAAACAGACTGACGGACAAACAGACTGACAGACAGACGGACAGGCAGGCAGATGGACAGACAGACAGACATGTATAAATATTTAAAACCCGCTATTCGTTCCTCAGTGGGGAAACGTCAATGTCATAGTTGTGCACATTTCAGCAGAACAGAAGGAGAAAGAAGAGCACTCAGGACAAGCACACATCAAACAGAATATATTATTTAAGTTAATAGAGAATGACATAATAAAATAATAGGCTGATAATCTCTGGAAGTATAATTGCACTTGGGTCAAGGATAAGTCCCTTGTTTGTAGAGAACGCCTGTAGTGAGCAGCAGTCATGAGGTTTCACATTTTCAGATGATTGGAAAACATGAAACTTGCATGTGATAACACATATTTCTGTCTTGTCTGTGGTATTGGATGTAACAAAAATGACTGTATAATGTATGTGTTTGAAAGAATATTTCTGCTCTGAATCTCTATTGCAGGAGTTTCCAACCCTTTCCCCTGGAGACTTCCTGGACCAAAGAGGGAGTGTGCTCCTCCTTTAGACTGATGAAAGAAATAATGGTGTTCTACAATGAAGTAGTTTTAATCTTGATTTTAAAAATACATTCTGATGTTATTCAAATGGAATAACCAGCTGCAAAACATTATAAAAAATGAGGTAATAAATGCATGAATCAAGTGGTTTTTATCTTAATTGTCTAATCTGTCTTAAAACAATATTTGCCAATGGAACAAGGCCATTTAGTCTTAAATTAACAACTGTTACTTTATTTTCTCATTCTAAGGCATTGGAACTTCTTGTATCTATTTTAAACAAGACCATTTTGCTTGTCCCATTGGCAAAGCTTGTTTTAAGACAGTGAGAATGAGCTCAAACTAGGATACATTTAGCCAAATTTGTGCAATGTTTATATTTTCCATTACTTTTTGCAGTGTAGTTTTATTTCAAGGCACGGTATAGCAGTTTTATTACTTGGAAAACTTGTTTAAAGATTGTCAATAAGTTCTCAAATTAATTTTAAATTTGGGCAAACCTAAAAGATATTCCTATTTTTGCATAATTTCTAGATTTATTGTCAAAAATGAATATTAAAAATGACATCCTTTCAGATAATGCCTGTGTGGATCTATATTGATTTATGCTAGCACCATAACACATGGTATGCTATAGCAGCCACCTCTGAGCTCAGTATTGTATCATCTTGTTCTTGCCAACTCATGTTTTCATGAGCTGTGTTTTGCCATAACTAACAGACTGAGTAATTTCCCTTGTGAATCAATCACGTTTAATTGATTCCGTTGTAAAACTTAATGGTGTTTTTGGCTCAATGCTGCGCGCTCACTGCTTAGGCCAACAAAACTGAGCTTTTGTGGTTATGGTGATCACTTAAAAAGACAGCATTAAAGCTAAGGTACCTAAGTTTCAAAGACCAACTACATTACCTCAGTATTAACATCCATGCACAGTAACAGTTCCCTCGCTCTCAACAGTTTGCTTCTTTCACGTGCATGTTTTTTAACTCTGTCACACAAAAAATGTAAGAATGCTAATCAAGTCTCTCTTGTTTTATTTATGTGCTTGTCTGGTGCACACTGAGGTACTTTGGCATATATCCAAATGTGGTTTTAATGCAAATGGCAAATACACCGAATCTCAACCTCTATCCATCCATCTATTTTCTTCCCCTTACTCCATTCCTGGATTGTGGGGGTGGCAGTCAAATCTGCATCCATTTCCCAGAGCACCAGCCCCTCACTGATCCTCCTGCAGGTGGTGAGTCCACAGGAGGATGGCTGCTCTATCCGTGACAGTATAGCCTTTATCTATCAGCTGGGGCTTCAGGCAAAGTGGGGTTGAGTGTCTTGCCTAAGGACACAACGACAGCAGACATCATTGGGAGTTGGTGGAGAAGGTCTTGTGGTGGGCTTGCCCCCCACAACCCTCGCTCTATCAATTGGGCAACTGTCAAACTTAAAAGTCAAAGTCGGAGGGCTCTTTCTTACAAATATATAGATAACATGTTTTCAAATAAGATGAAGGCAGCATCTCAACTACAATAATATTAACTGCTTCTAACAATGATATTAACCTCGGTAAACTTACACAGCCTCTCCCCCTCTCTGCTCCGGAGGACCAGGGCTTATCTCAGCCCAATCTCTCCTCTAAGGACGTGGGGGGAAATCCATGCACATTGCCTTATATGGTCTTGAATCCTGTGTGAGTGTGAGTGTCCCAGAGCTGGTCGTACTGATGAGACATGTCTGTTCATTATACAGTTATTCACAAGCAGCTGAGCAGAACATCCGCTCACGCACGCACACAGAGGCAAAACTCTCTGCAATGCTCTGTATCCAAATCTGCCCAAATGTGGATCCATCTGCTTCACATCTGATATGATATGAAGACAAAACAAAGAGCAAGAAAAATAGGAGCAAAAAGAAAAACAAAGGACTGAGCAAACCACAGCTGTTATATAATTGAAATGCAGGCTTCACATATCAACCACACTAATTATAGCTGAATGTATTCCTTATGTTTGTAATCCATACATTTCTCCATTTGGAACCATATTTCGACCTTGTGTTTAAGGTAAGGAAAGAGACTCGTTCACTAAGAATACAAAATACAAAACCCACACTTGCCTAATTAGATTTTGTTGGGAAAAAAATAATAAAAACTTCTAAGCCAAGGACAGGTTCATACTCATTTGTGGTTCACTTTAACTGGGCCGAGCCTGGTTCACTTGAGGAAAAGAGCGTCGCAGATCTGTTTCAAAGAACATACTGTAATTAATGAGCTAGAAGCTGCTACTTTTTTCTTTGTACTTGATTTAATTCAATTCAATGTATGTCATTTTTATTGTGGTTGATTTGGGCTGTTTTAAGATTAGATTTATGGACTTTTAGAAGCTATTGAGTGGATTTTTATTGTCAAAATAGAGTGGTGAATGAGTCCCGCATCCGACGTGGAAGCTAACAGTTACGGTAAGCATGCTAACGTCGGCTAATGTTTTCCCCCCGCTGAGCTCATTGTGTTGGTTACCTTTAGCTTTGTCGATGAACAGTCAATAGTGCATTAAAACAGCTACTTATCAAATCATGTTGTGACCAATTAATAGTGTTTTCCGAATGCAGAAGAAGTTGGTTTGAACCTTAGCTAGCTGGAGCCAATATCCTTATATGGGCATTTGTTCCAACGGTGATAGCTTTGAACTAACAGGGACAGACATGTTGCTATGGTGGTTGCTAAGGCAAGCTGGAGTTTCCCTATACATAGTTCCCACATGACGTCACTACATACGGGGATTTGCCGACCCGGCGACATTTGTGTTGGCATTCTGTGGGCAAAACAATAGAAAAAGAAGCTGAAACGTGTTAATGTCGTGATAAAGTTGAAAATGGTCATCTCCTGCTGGGTCAATGGATGTTCAAATCGTGCCGGAGGTTCCGTTAAACTTGGATTTTACAGTATACCCATCATTAGACTTCATGAATGTGAGAAGACTAAGCTTTTGTCAGAACAACCACGGAGGTTATGGCTTGCGAAGATAAACAGGCAAGAAACTCCCTCAAAAACACGCAAGAATATGCTCGGAGCACTTTGTGTCAGGTGCGTATCGTATCTTATAATGTGTTGACAGACGTAATTTACTCAGTACTAACTTGTGTATGCTGATATCTGGTAACTTGAGAGTTTCATTATTTAGCGTTAGATTACTTTATTATGAGGAGGATCGGTGTCGCGTCCGAGGCTCTCGAGGGCAACGTAAATGTATTAAATAGATAATAATAGTTCTATGGTGGGCTAAAACAATGTTCACAAACAGCATTGCTTCTGTAAAAAGATCTGTGTCATAAAATAAACTGCTCTTTACGCCTGGAAAAATCAGTTGCCCACCATTCACCAAAACATACGGTCAAAAACGCGGAAATAAACAATAACAGCAATCCAGAGTGTCCGTGTGGCATTAGCATTAATTAAATTAATTGTTAATATAATTAAAATAATTAAATGGAGCTCCAACTGGTATTAAATCTAAAGTTTTTGAGAAATGTTTGCATTGCTTGTTAATTTTTGCTGCATAATTTGATCAAATATGTAAAACATGTCCGTAGCACGTTAAACTGTGGTGCCATTGTATTAATATACAATTATTTGCTCAAAAGTTGCCCTTTTTTTTCCAATTTGCGTTTGAATATCTACATTTATTCTCATTCTTCTGTTTAATGGAATGCACAAACACAGCAACGTGCCATCAAAGATGGCGTCTCCGAGGAGGTCATGTGACATTCATTGGTCTGTGGGAACTATGTATATGAAGATGTCTCATTTGTACAAGGCTTATATCTAAATTTACAAAGACAATATAAAAATTAAATAAACACCAGGATCATAGTCAGCACAAAACCACATATTTTAAGCCCAAAACAATGAATGTGACACAAATGGTTTCTGAGCTATAGGAGTTTACTGTACAATGTATAACGCTGCGTCAGTAGGAGCCAGAGCGAGTTGGAGCTAAACTTCATCCATGAGCATTTCCCTTTTGGACTTCACTGTGCTAGTGGGTTAGCATTGCCAATGTATATACAGACTATGTTAGAGAAGCAAACCTGCTAACATACTTTTACTGTGCAACTAAATGTTTTCAATTAGCAACTATAAAAGGGTCGAATCATGGATCTATAATAATAATAATATTTACAGTCTATGGTCTAATCCAAAACCAAAAGAGGCCACGTGACTCAGCAAAAGGCACGGGACCATGGAGTTGTCTTACCCGCAGTCTGGTCTTCAGTGTCGGTCATGTTGGATGGACCAGGTCGGTTCCAGCTGCTCTCAGTGAGTAATTTCTAAACAAACTCCCTCTTTAGTCTACTTGGGTCCACAAGCCTGCAGCACCACCATACACCGCGCTAAATATAAGAGCCGTATCAGAGAGGTCCTCAGCGGGTGAACTTGACTCTCCTCCGCCCTGTCCCTGTGCCCGAGCCTGGCCCTGGCCCTATGCTCTGTCCCTGGGGTTAGATTTCACAGAGCCATACACGTGCCAGGCTGATTAGACATTACAGGCAGCACAACACAGCGCTGTAGTCTGCTGTTAAAGACCGCAAGAGCTAATTTTATCCTCTCAAACCGGAAAATAAAACTCGAGGACAGATTCTCTCAGCGCGTCTTGAGAAGCCAAAGCGGATCTCTCCACCAGGGGGCGCCAGAGCTGTAGATGCGGCCCTAGATCCATGATGCGGCCCTCTACTGTCCCGGGACCTTGAATGGTTGTGATGTGATCTGTCAGATGTCAACTGTGAAGAAATGGCCATGAGCTGAAGTCCAATATTTCAAGTGAAAGTAACTTAAAACTCTTTCAACATATTGAGCCCACTACAGTATTATTGTCTCTGAATTGTAAAGTATTACTACAGCACTACTGCATTACTTTTAAGTTACTCAGTTTCACCACAATATATGTAGGCTTTTGAGCGAGATTGATGGTTTTTATTTGTGTTGCTGATATTTTTCTCCATTAAACTCAAAATAATGGGAGTATTTAGTTTTTCTCACTATAATATCTCATCATTATTATTATTTTCAGATTATTGCTTTAATTTTATTTTTATGTTTTATTGTGAAATACTAGGCAAGCTACTGTGACAACGCAATTTCCCTTGTGGATCAATAAAGTCTGTCTAAATCTAAGTCAGAACAGTCGTAATGAAGCGCACCCAGCACAAGATTAATGAACAATAACTCTAATTAAAGTAACATAAAATCTCTTGCATTATAGAAACAGGTATAACATCTCTATCTTTAAACTCTACATTCGGCATAATAAAAAGCAAGTATAAAGTCCTGTGTATGCTAGTGTAAGTAATATATAGTTGCATGTTAGCAGCATGAGGCTCTGGGACACAGTAAAGTGACAATGACACTTCTGATATTAGTTCAAGATATTGCACTGTATGCCCATGTTGCAAATGTATAAATATTACCCATTAGGAATGCCTTTCATTACAGCATAACACAAAAATCCATATATTAGAAGATTACATCACTTTTGTAACACACTGCTCTCAACACAGGTCTCAAGACCCTCCTGCAGTTGTGTGGCAGCTTTGTTTGGCTCTAGCTGTTGGTTAGCCCAGTGTTTCCCCAAACTTTTTGAACCGTGGCTCACTTTCTTCATTGAGAACCATCACATGGCACACCACCAGCTAAACTGATACAGACTGAAAATCTGCAGCCTTTAAAAAGTCATCATCAAAGCATATTATATAGAAAATCCAACAAGAGCAAAAAGGTCTATCTAATCTTCTCACATCATTTTATTTTCCCATATTTTGTCCAATAAAGTGATATTGGGTAATTTCCAAAGGCACACCAACCAACATCTCAAAGCACACTTAGTTGCCACAGCCCACTGGTTGAAAAACACTGGGTTAAGCTAGAGCCGAAGAAAGCTGCTAGACAACACAAAAAGCTATGGAAAAATTAAAATCTAATTTCATTTAAAGTTAAGCTGTTGCAGTTTTTATATAGGTCTCCTTAATCATAAAACAAGTACTGTATTTATGCATTTTATACCATTAACAATTATGTCCATGATATATTATTCATTTAACCTGAGAAAGGCCATCCCCCGCAGACGTCCCCATTGTAATGTAGTTGCTCCACACAGCACAGCAGCTCTAATCAACTCTTAATAGTGTGAAATCTTACAGCCCCACTCATTGCTCTAACTGTTTTATGGCACTGTGGGCAGAAGCTTAATTGGGAACTTGTGGCAAAGAAGTGCACTTCACAGGTTTACAGCCTGCAGCCGCCATTAGAGCCTCGGTGACGACATTAGCTTTCACTAATGTTATTGTGTCCAGGGACTTTAACCAAGTGTGACACATCAGGCAGACAGACGAGTGTATATACAGATGCAAGAAGTGAACTGAAGAGCCATTTGTAATCGTACGATAAGAGAAAGACATGGTCGTTGTGGATTGGAGTAAACTATGAGTAATCCTAATTAATAATATAATACTTGTAGAATCTGACCTGCATATTTTCTGAATTACTGCTAAAACATTGCCATCTGAAGCACTAATTGTTCTGACCCATTGTTAAGATTATGTATAAATTCAGCATGCATCGTTATTATCTCAACTGATGACGTCTCTGTTTCTATTTCACATTGATACAAATCATATTAAGAGCTTTGTCTCCTTTTGCTCGATCTGGAAGGACTCAAAAATACACCGGGTCACAGGGGCGATCGCTGCTGTCTCGGTCTTCATTTCTCAAAGGATTTGTTGGAGGGTGTATAAATTGTTGTATAAAAAGGCAGAATAAGACATGGTTTGATTCATGTACAACTCTTCTACTAACATTGTCTGAATAGTATACAACACTAAGCAGAAGCCAGGGATTTTCCATTTGATGTTTTGGTTCTCTGAGGACTGTCCTTGATGCTTCTAGTAAAATATCACATTCTGCAAAACTTTGGTCAACTCTTTTTTCAACAGTAAAATGTCTTCTGCTGTGACGCGATCCCAGACCTACTAAGGTTTTGTCATTTTCTTGAACAGGAGAGGTGATGGATCAGCACAGAGACATAATATCATGTTATGACAATGCAATGGCCCTGAGCTAAATGCAGACAGACAAAGTTAGTTATAAAATTAGATCGAATTAAGTGTGGAATCTGAGCTGCATATTTTGTTCTGTGGACTCGTGTTATGTATTACTGATGTATTTGTTCTGACCCACATTGTTACTACAGTATCTATATCTTAATCACGCCCCATTAATATCTCAATTGATGACGTCTCAAAAATCGTTGTCTTCTTTGGTTCGATCTGGAAGGACTAGAAAATAATCCGTGTTACAGGTGCAATCGCCACTGCCTCTGTCTTCATTTCTCAACAGAAGCTATGAAGAATAAATGTCCATAATAATTACGCTGATCAGGTTTTTTCATTCTGGGACTTTTTTCTGATTTTTGTGTATTTAATTTTTTTTTACGGTATTTGGATGATTATTTTTTTATTTTTCTCTATTTATCATTGTATTTGTTTTCATTTAGTCTATTTTATTGATCTATTTTATGTTTTTCTGCTTATTTATTTATTGTTTAAAGTCACATTGGGAATTTTTTTTGGTATTGATTTTGGAAATGTGCAATATAAATAAAGTGGATTTTCATTTTGTCTGTGTTCTTGACCATTTAAATGTTTATATGATTTAAATCTCAGATGTGGTGTAAACAGGTCAAGGAAGCAGTAACTTAACATGTTTAGATCCTTCTTCAATAAGTCATGATTGTAATGTCCCCAAAAATGGGTGATGCAAACCCCAAAAATGTGTCTGTTAAAAGGGGTGCCCTGCCGAGAACTGGCCTGGGCTGGTGGAGGTGTGATGGGGGAAATCCAGGAACAAAAGGCGGGTCTTTGATTAGAACAGCACAGCACTGTCCCACTGTTTGTGATCCTCAGCAGGCTGTGCCCTCAGGGACGACCTCCTCAGAGGAACAGGCTCCAGATGTGTGTGTGTGTGTGTGTGTGTGTGTGTGTGGGAGGGGGGCTTGTCCAAACAGAGGTAGGTGATGGATGGCTCTGTGGAGTTGGGTGGAGGGGTTCTGGTGGAGAAGGGGAATCTGCAGCTCTTGAGAATGTCATAAATTAGACAGAAAGAGCGCGGTTATACTTTAAACAAACACAGACGGTCAGCATTCCAGCAGTGACCAGAGGCTGAAGCTCCGATGTTTCACACTCTGAGCTACACTGGCCTGTTCACATGTGGAGCAGCAGTACAAAATGCACACACACGATCAGTTAATCTCCTACTCTGTATGACTATTTATAAACAGCCAGGACATCTGCACAGTGTAACTGCTGCAGCCTGAACCCTCCCTGTGTCTGCTCTGTGTCCTCCCACACATCCCCCTCTTGTTTCAGGTCTTGTAGCTCACACTTTTCTCCTGACCTGTATTTCCCCAGAGGATTTCCCTTGTGTATGCAGAAGGCAAAGGGTTAGTTTTCTACCACTGTACCTTTAATAACTTCTAATTGTAAAAGTTTTGGTTCCAGACGAGTGTTTGGATATATAAATATAACTAATATAAGACAGAGCAGACATTCCAAGCAATGTGCTCATTCCCCACAGGGCTCATGCAGCACTCACTGCAGAACTGCTGATGGCTTGTTTTCATGAACAGATATCATTTCCAGATGGAGGCCGTGAATCAATTCCACTGAGTAGAACTCCATATACAGTCTATAGTGGGGCTATAGAAATGAAACTGGATCATGAGGCAAACAACAAAACAGAAACTAGTTGAGCTTGACACAGCGACATAACAAACTATTGACTGATGTGAGATTTCATAAAGCATTTAAAAGTGTTATGAAATCTCACACTGACTCTGGTCAAACGGTTATTCCGGTCTACTGAGACTTTATCTCAGCCCTTATCTGCTCCATCAAGCACTAACCAGCTGGCTTTGTCCAGACGGGGGCTGTGGCCAACAGGGCCCATAGGCTCAATCATGTGATCTGTGGCTCCGTAAACATACGTCTTCAAAGTCTACAAGATGGCTGCTCAACTCCTCACATCTTAGATATTTTGAGATAACAGACCAGTGTGTTCCCTCTGTAGCAGTGAGAGCATCTAGATCAGGTCCTGTGTGTGTCTCTGGAGCACAGGATCTGCAGTAACAGAAGGAGGTCCATTCAGGTGCAAAGCACATCCAGTCTTTGTCCTGGGCCTGCCCCTAATGTATCGCCTCATTTACACATATCAATTAAGGCTGATAATGAGCTCTGCATGGCACAGCATGTGAATGCATTCCACTGGTATTGTGCAAACGTGTGTGCTTTGAGCTGGCCTTTCACATGGTGCACAGATTGTAGCAGGGCAGATTTAAGAAGCCACAATAGTGACTCAGCAGCCGCTCTGCGCCCTGTGCCCCCTGCCTGCACTCATGGAGGTGCTAATGACAAACAAACAGGCTCCTTAAGTGCAATGCACAAACACAAAGATCATGGAAATAACCACAACACAAGGCTGTAAAAATACATTTATATTATTAGAACTCCTGATTTAAAGTATAAAAAGCAGAATCATTTTTCATTGAAAATATAATATCACCCACAAGGTGCATGTAAAATCATCCATATAGAGATTTGATCATTGTAATACATTATCTTCAGAAAAGGAATGCTTCATGTGCATAGAAGGTGTGTGGATTTGTCTAAGCGCTTGTTTCTTGTCCTCAGGCTCAGTGAAACTGCAGCATCTCTGAGTTGGGATGTCCCGCTCTGATTGTACCTGAAGGAAATCCCTGTAAACAGCAGCTGGCACAGGCAGAGGTTTGGCACGACTTCAGACAGGGCAGATCTGCTACTGATCCCCATGTTCACTGAGACAGCAGAGTTCTGTGCCACGTACAGTCCAAAAGGTCAGTCCAGCAGAGTCCTATCAAAGGGAGGTGCTGGAGGACACTATGCTCTTCTTCACGTATATAGCCAAGGTGCTATTGGGAACGAGCTGAGCCGAGCTGCTCCGGAAAGAGGCCAGGAGACGCCCTGAAGAGAGATCAGAGGATAAGTCCCCAGCACAGACATGTCCAGACATGGTATGAGTAATACTTGTGTATGTTTGTGTTTAAAAACCCCATTAAAAGATTAAACACACTGATCACTCAGCACTCTGACGACTCCACTACAAAGACACAAGTGCACGTACCGCTCCACGTCCTCTGGCCGCTCAGACTGAAGGTGGAGCACTGGGAGTGAGTGTTGCAGATATGGGCTGCCTCTCGTGGGCTGTGCACCGACAACACACAGCCCTGTGCACTGTAGGAGAGCCAGCAGCGGTACTCTCCCCCAGACGCCCCCACATGCCTCAGCAGAGAGAAGTCTGCAGAGAAACACACAAGCTCAGTTATCTGCACTTCTGTAATCAGTACAATAGTGTAGTCAAGACCTGGGCTAAACAGACAACGCTAACATTTGCACAGGAGACCAGTTTATGCTGCAGTCTTAATCACAGTTAATGACAACATCGGAATATTGGTGCAAAAATATCCAGTGCGCACAACTTAGAAAAAGAGAACATTACTTAGGTAAACAGATTAAGAGATCCTTTTTTTCGTCCCATAGAGGGACATTTCAATAAACGATACGGTAAAAGAAGATTTAAAAACAAGCACCAACTAAAAGCAATAAAGTGCTAGATCAACCAAATTCATGCTCTGTTCAGTCTGATAACAGCTGTGGAAAGAAGTTGTTTGTGTGGCGAGATGTCCTCTAACTCAAGCGACAATATCTCATCCCAAAGGAAAGAAGCTGGAACATGACGTTGGGAAAGGAGAGAAAGGAGAGCAAGACAGCAGTAAAAATGCTGGACACATAAAGAGAGCAAGGTTTCATAGTTTTTTAGCATGAGGATGTGTGATTTCAAGAGGCACGACCATAAATGTAAAACTAGTCCAAACAAGATATAACAGATGTTCATCATGACTTTCAAGATCTGATCCAAAGTCCTAAATCTGATTCGTGAAGGCCACCGTCCAAATGGCTCTCTCAGAATTACCCGAAGAATCATTGATAATTTGCAGAGCATGATTTAAAGGTCGTGTTGCATTTGCTGTGTACAAAACAAACTAACACATGCTCTGCTGAGAAACGATCCCAGACTTCCTCATATTTTGACATGTTATTCAAGAGTAAAGATAAGAAACAGATACCTCCAGCCATAGTTTATCTAAGAGGCATAAGGCACTTTTATCCAATTTAATAAAAGTACATTCATTTTGGGCCATAGTCCACAGACCTCTTTCAAGTTAGCTGCAGATATTTGACATAAGGAGGCCTACAGTTAAACAGCGACACGTGTAGTTAGTAGTGTCCAGGCCCAGCCCCTGCTCACAGAGACCCAGGCTCCAGCCCTGGGCCTCCTCAGCTGCTCCTCTCTACAGCCTCAAATCATCTGCTCTGCATTAGAACCACAGGCAGCGGACAAAGGCTGGTGTGTGCGCTGTGCGGAAGAGCGCTGCCTGTTAACCTTCTAACTGGCAGCAGCGGCTGGGGTATCGGCGAGGGGGAACACGACGCGAGGATCGGCCCCCGGCTTTAAGAAGAGGGAAGAAAAGTGAACAAGGGGTGGAGTGTTCGAAGGCGCTCAGAGGAGAACATGAGCCTGCTGCTGCAACAGACAGCCCTGGATCACCGCTGTGCCACGGATCATCACTAGGACCTTCTTTGTGTCTGGGAATGTGGTTCACTTCTGGAAATGGCAATTGACCAATGGAAAGCTTTCCTGTACGAGGCGATGCAAAGCTGTGTGATATTACAGCGAGTGTTCTCCCTTGGTGTCCTCTTCTGGATTATAAACGGTTATATTTGAAAAGTTTTGTCTGGGCTACACTGCAAAAGATGATAAAATTTGAGGTAATAATGGCTTGAATCGAATGGTTTTTACAGTATCTTAAAAGGTATAGAGGAGGATTTTCTACTTCCAAGTGGATCATCAAGTCTATTGGTCCTTGAATAAAACTCAAAAAGTGGAGAGGGTGGTTCTTTCTCGACATAAGGCAGTCAAAATGTGCTCGAATCAAGATACATTTAGCTAAATTTGAGCAATTTTAGACTTTTTTTGCATCACTTTTTGCAGTGTATGAAGTGTGACAAAACTTATCTTTACCACTCAGAAGGCGTTACATTGTATAATATAGCTTTTATGACTTCTTCAACATTTATGGACATGAAACTCCCCCTTATGGACCAATACCTATGTGCTTTTGTGTTTGAACTGATTGATTCTGTGATCTGTGTTGGTGATTTCAAAGGTTTTTTTCAGTCTTCTGAGATAACTACTGTGTGATTCAGGGCTATACAATAATAATCTGAATTCTTCAAAACACATTGGAATAGAACAGTTTTTAGATGGAGACGTTGTTTATAGATTATCACATGAAAGCTGTTTGCGAGTGGTGATTCCTTTAGCAGACTTTGAGAAAGCTGAGTTAAACATCAAACATGCTGTGCCCATGTCGCTGACCCTGTGGAGAGCTGATGAGCCTTTGTGCCTCTGGGCCACGGCACCTTCTTGTTAAGTCCAGGCCTTTCCTCCTGGTGTGAGCCTCCACACTCCGTCAGCGTTTGGATTCACATAACTTTGCTATATAAACAGTCCTGCATCTGGGAATGGAAAGTGCAGGAACGCAGCCAGCGGTTCTGGTATTAATATTTCATTGAGTGTGGCAGCGGGGGAGTGAGGGGGAGAGAGGGAGAGTGAGGGGGAGAGAGAGGGAGAGGGGGAGACGAGAGGCCACGAGTGCAGGGAGACTCCACGTTTTCAACCGTAGACAAACGTTTGAGAAACTTCATGCTCCAACTTTAAGGATTGCATAGTTTACCCCTGATATGTCGTTTCAAATAAACATCTTTCAGACCAAGTTATGGGTGCGGACATTCACTGATATCCGTGATAATAAACATACCTCCCATTTAAACTTGTATACAATAAAGAACCAGAACATATTTGTACTTCTCTTATAGTAATTCCTGTGAGAACTCAAAGAGTTGTAGGGCTTAAATGGGTCAAACTGGACTAATCCTTCTTGTCGAGCTTGTCCTCTCATTCCAGCTGCCTAATAAACCTGTCAAAACAGCCTGGAGAGGTAGAGACACCCTGCCCCCGACTTTCTCCCATTCCAAAAGAAAACAGCGAGCCGGCCCGTCTGTTCTCTGGGCTGGGATTAGGGCACTTTACACTGGAAACATTTGCTTTGGTTATTCTAGCACATTTTTTGCAACGCCATCGCAGACATTAGAAGAGCTGGGAGGCGGAGTTATCAAAAGAAACAATGTAATGTTTTAATGCCACCACTGCACGCGATGCTACAGATCAGCACAGTTCAATAGAAAGCTGGGTGATAGAAGGCAACAAAAGTTTCTGTACCTGAGAGTTCCGACGCCGGCAGGTTGTCCAGATGCGCTCCCGACTGGTACTGGGCCAGGAGCTCTTCAAAAGCCGCGAGTGTCTCATTGATGTCCCCCCTCAGTTCTCCTGCACATATAAAGGCCTCAGTGTGAATCTTTTGTCCGGCTGCTTTTCATTCAGACAGACGAGTCGACACACGAAGGTAGAGATTTTTTGTGAGATCTGAAAGCGGCTCACCTGTGGAGTTCATGATGTGGTCCACCAGGTGTGTGAGAGTGGGCGGGGCCTGGTGCGGCAGCAGGTACGTGAAGAAGTATCTGCAGGGAAACACACAGGAATCTAACATCTAACAAATGCGCAAATGATGCAGCCTCTGCTCCGAAAGCAGCTTGTGCCAGCGAATGCATGTGTAAAAGCGATTTTAACAGTTTTCCTGCGGGAGGGGCTACTCGTGGCCATTTTGAAAAGGTTCATGTTGATCGCACATATATTTCAAAAGAGGAAATAGGCGTCACTAGTCTGTTAATATTTACAGTCTATGGTTTTAAGCTGGTTTAAAGCTATAATAAGGTCGTAAGTCCTCTGGGCCTCTAAAGTATGGGTCAGTCAGAAAGGTATGTTTAAATGCATTATTTTAGTGTTTCTAATTGTGTCTTTAGTTGCTTATTTTAGTTTGACGGTGATGTAGTAGTTCTAAGACCTAAGACATTGTGTGCGAGCTACAATAAAGAAAAGAGCCAAAGTTAGGTGTGTTGATCCCCTTTCCCTGATAATCCTTTCAAAGCTTTCTCTCATCTGTAAATCTGCCGCACCTGTAGGCGTTGTACATGTTCTTCTTCTGGTTGAAGCCCTCGCAGCGGCCGCCCGCACACGGGACGGTGAAGTTGCGTTGGGGGAAGAGCAGGGTGCAGTCGGCGCTGGTTTCACAGAGGGTCGGCTCCGCGCTCACGTCGTCCAGGTCCGTGAGCTTCAGACTCCCGGACACCAGGACGAACTGCCGCGGCTGGAAGTCCAACAGCGCCACGGAGCCCAGAGGGGAGATGGACAGGAAGTGCAGCAGGCGCACCATGTCCAGGCAGACCTAGGGAAGCACAGTCACAGGGTTATTCTGGGAGTTTAGACTCGTTTGGGCCTTGTGTGATGTGGACAGTGAAGCGCTTTGTTCAAACGTAAAATACCAATTTTCCCAGATTTTTTTTTAACTTAGTTAATTCTTTATAACCTATATCAATTTGATGCATTATCTATAATTTTTTGAAGATAATTTGTTTTCATCCCCAAATCAATAAATAAAAACAATATATATATTATTTGTTGATTTTGGGAATAAAACAATTAATATTCAATAAATGATAGATAATGCATCAAACTGCTATGATAAGATTGGGATCTTTATTTTCAACTAAATCAAATCGTTTAGAAAAATATCGTAATGAATTGGAAGTCTACAGTATCTCGAGACCTGCATCATATCGTCTGCAGTTCAATGTCACTAAAGACGTTTTGTTTTAGTAGTTTAGCATGTTAAACGTTCAGTAATAATTCTCAGTGTATTGTGGACCAATCATCCAGAAGCCTAAGGGCCACATTTAGTCCCCGAGCCATAGGTTGAACACCCCTAGTCAATATCCACAAAGCACTCGGTCTACAGAGGTCATCCTAAAAGCCTCAGCCAGTTCCATTTCACCCCTTTAATTAAATGGACAAAAATAGCAACTCCACAGATCCACATTAGCGAGCCTTTTTCTGGAACGGTTGTTTATGGTGCCTTTTAAACGCAGCAATAAAAAACAAAGAGAAAATAAGTAGGCTACAAAAACGAATAAGTGCATTAGTCGGACTTGGGGAAGGAGCAAACGGTGAAACATTGCTGCTGCCTGAGGTCATGTGGACTGCTCTGGGACGTCCCGAAAGCAGTGGGGCGTAACCCAACACCCCGCTTTACTGTAGCCGCGCAGATGCAGATGGAGAGACTAGGGGGGACCTCAATTTTCTTTCACAAATATTTTTTTTTCCCAACAAAAGAAAAAGTAACAAATCAGACCACTTTCCTTTCTTTTTCATTTTTCTGTCTTAAAAAACCAGCTAAAGATGTGACAGAAGCCAGACATATATGCATTTGAGAACTAGTTACTTTGATTGTTTGATTTGTGTGGTTTGAAAGTCTTAGATTGATCGAGCCTGTAAAGTACTTGAGTAAAAGTGTAGATACTGCTTCAATACATCCACTCTGATAAAAGTATTTAAATCACTCAATATGTCACACTGATACAGAATATGACAATAATAACAAAACACGTAGAACTTTAGCCGAATGGAATTATCTGGACTTAGAAGCAAAGCTAACCACAGTGGTTGATTTCACTTGGAATCAAAGGGGAACCACTTCAAACCTATTTTATGTTGTGTTGTCATTTGCACTTAGGTGGCAAGTAACAGGTTATAGATATTTGGGTTAAAAAAGAGAGGATTTTTAATAATTACCAATATTTCTAAATTAGATACTTCACTGTTTTATAGTCATATTGATTTTTATTATTTTTATCAATAAATAAACAACAAAAACACATAGATCTTCAATAAATTCAGTGTTGCATAAGAGCCCGAATGCCTTTCTTTTTTTGCTGATTTGAATTGAAACGTATACAAATATATCAAACTGAAAGATTTCTGAATCGAGATCGTATCGTATCGAATCTGCAGGCTGTGAACGATACCCAGACCTAGTTAGTAAAAAGGAAAAAAATACAAAAGTTGTCGGAAAACTAAGTAGTGCCACGCAAAGCACAGACACCAGGGAACTACTTGAGCAAAAATACTTTACAAGTCACCTCGCCTGGGTAGAATATTTGGGTAAAAGTTTTCTCTCTGGCTGCTTCTCTCCAAAGGGTAGGTGTGGGGGCTCGGCTGCGCACCCCGCCGGGAGCATACCTGGGCTGGGGGAGCACTAAGCCCCTCTGTTACTGAGGCTCAAATTCCTGGTCTGCAGTGGATTAGCTCTGGTGCTCCCCGCAGACACACGACACAGCAGTTTCAAATATCGGCCGCACTCCCGCTTTTATCACACGGCCTCAGATCATGGTGTCAAACTGCACTTCACCCAAGGCTACAGCACCAAGCCTCAGTGAAGCCACAGCAGCTACTGTCAAATTACTGTCAAATATTCCAAAGAGAGAAAAAGAGATTTATAGATTGAGTTACATCCTATAGAGAAAAGACTCATAAAAGCCACAACAGAGACACACAGGTGGTTTTATTTATTGGTTCTACAGTCTTAGTCCTGGTTCTACAGTCTTAGTCGTGGTTCTACAGCCTCAGTCCTGGTTCTACAGCCTCAGTCCTGGTTCTACAGCCTCAGTCCTGGTTCTACAGTCTCAGTCCTGGTTCTACAGTCTCAGTCCTGGTTCTACAGTCTCAGTCCTGGTTCTACAGTCTCAGTCCTGGTTCTACAGTCTCAGTCCTGGTTCTACAGTCTCAGTCCTGGTTCTACAGTCTCAGTCCTGGTTCTACAGTCTTAGTCCTGGTTCTACAGTCGCAGTCCTGGTTCTACAGTCGCAGTCCTGGTTCTACAGTCGCAGTCCTGGTTCTACAGCCTCAGTGCTGGTTCTACAGCCTCAGTGCTGGTTCTACAGCCTCAGTCCTGGTTCTACAGTCTCAGTCCAGGCTCTACAGTCTTAGTCCTGGTTCTACAGTCTCAGTCCTGGTTCTATAGTCTCAGTCCTGGTTCTACAGTCTCAGTTGTGGTTCTACAGTCTTAGTCGTGGTTCTAAAGCCTCAGTCCTGGTTATACAGTCTTAGTCCGACGGCCTCAGTCCTGGATCTACAGCCCGAGTCCTGGATCTACAGCCTGAGTCCTGGATCTGAGTCCTGGATCTGAGTCCTGGATCTGAGTCCTGGATCTGAGTCCTGGATCTGAGTCCTGGATCTGAGTCCTGGATCTGAGTCCTGGATCTGAGTCCTGGATCTGAGTCCTGGATCTGAGTCCTGGATCTGAGTCCTGGATCTGAGTCCTGGATCTGAGTCCTGGATCTGAGTCCTGGATCTGAGTCCTGGATCTGAGTCCTGGATTTGAGTCCTGGATCTACAGCCTGTCTTTCCGTGTGAGCTAATCCCTCTCTCAATGTGGGCCTCCCAGAGGTTTTTGAAAATAGTTTTGACACTGATGATTCAGGGCATTTAGGAAAAATTTTACAGACAGAAATTATTTTTTCCTCTTCGTACTGGTTTCACCGTATATAATTTTTACTCAAGGTATTATTTCACATTCTAAAAGTCTATTAGTCCCAATCATTTCTAATAGCCAAAAACAATGAGTAATAGATCAATCAAATATAAGATTCACTTCCCTTTAAATGATGTTGCTAGGTTAAGTGTTGTTCAGACTATTCCTCTACATTTGTATTTGTCATGGCCATAAGTCTTCCATAACCTTTGGCGTCTCGTTCGCTCAATGCCAATCTAGTTTGCATCACAAGAACAAAACTTGAAATCCAGCAGATGTCATGTGGCGCTAATACATGTAATTATACAATAACAGAAGCAGTGCTCACCCTGAAGCGGTCCTCCCAGGGGCTCTGCAGCAGCTGGATCATCTGCAGCGGAGTGCCCTGCTCCAGGATGACGGCCAGTCTGCTCCCTCCTGCTGGGCCCTCTGCCTCCTGGCCTCCCTGCTGGCCCTCGCAGTGCCCCCGCAGCTGCAGGAGAAGACCAAATACTCTTACTCATGGGAAAAGCACAGGAGGTATTTGACAAACAAGCGAAAACCGAGAAGGAAAGAGCATGAGTGGGCCGTGCTTATTTAGTTGATTAATCGGTCGATGACATCTTCTTAGTTGACCAAAAATGGCATTAAGCGACTATTTATCTGACTTACAAGACGTTCTATTGGAAATCTGCAAAGAACAGAAGCCATGGAGCAAATTTTGGTATTCACTAAATTCTACTTCTCCATTCACAATACTTACATCATTTCAATATCATCAATATGTTTAATTTAAAAGCACCTTTCAAAATACCTAAGAAAACTGTACAAATACGAGAAACAATTATATCAGAACTGGACAATGGTCAAGTGGGGTTAGGATTGTCTGAAATGGTGAGCTTTGAGTCTGGACTTATTCAATACTTTTCAAAAGCAATTATGTGAGGAATATTTTAGCCACAGTTCTGAGAGTCTATTTTAGGTCTGATCCATAACACGTTTTCATGTAAAATGGCGGGACACTCCCTAGAGAAAGGGTATGGAGGTCGGTCAAACGGGAAGCGCTCGGAGTAGAGCCGCTGCTTCTCCGCTTCGATAGGAGCCAGCTGACGTGGATCGGGCAACCATTTGAGATGCCTCCTGGACGCTTCCCTGGGGAAGTGTTCCGGGCAGACTATTGCTTGGAATGCCTCGGGATCCTCCAGTGTGTTTATGGATAAGGAAGTGTGGGCGTCTCTGTTTAGACTGCTGCCTCTGTGACACCGCAGATGGATGGATAATTGACTGGGCATACATTTAGTCAATTTTCTTGGGGCTCCTTAATTTAAGATCATGTGAGAAAAAAACAATTCAATTCAATTTAACTTTTGATTCTAAAAAGGTGTGTGGGGCCTAATAGATGCTTGCGGCCATGGTCTGGATACGTTATTCCTTGATAGAACATATTTTTATGGCTTTACTCTGACATTGGGTTGGCTCTCCTCTCTGCACATGTGACCATATAGTCAAATGTTTAGTTTGTAGGAATACATAATCAAAGAGTGAGAAAAGAAAAGATGTATCTATTTACAGTATATAATTGATGTCTTTTTTCAATGTAAAAAGTAAATAAGAAATTGAATCACTTCAGGAACAACTTTTGATACCACAACCATGCACAATCTCTCACACAAAACGATTGATTTAACAAGACATGCCCAAGCGATGAAGTGGACGCAAAAGGAGATGTGACAGCAAATTTTAAAACTATGTGTATCCGACCCAAACTGCACTCACAAGACTTTAATTTCATGGAAAACAGCTCCAGCATTACATATCATAACTTCCTTACCTTTCTACCTATATTAGTCCCACAATGGAGAAATGGGCAAATTACCTCTGGGAAAAATACCTCAAATAAATAGCTATTAATGAAAACTATTGAATGAACATGAAATGAGAGCTCGATCAAAACGACCGCAATCTAAGGCTGATTTGATCCATGCCATCTCACTTTTGTACAGAAAGCAATGTAAGGTTTTAAATTAAAAATGGACCAAAGGAGGGAAGAAAGACAAGATACAACTCTGGAGATCTTCGTTTAAAACTAGATTAATACTCTAGATATTGTATGTAGTTGTTATTTGTCTGTTTGTTATATTGCTTTTTAATCTTTAGCACTTTGAGGTTTCCTGGAAATGTATTATCACATTTTTTTTTAAAGGTGAACGGCTATATTCTGCCATCATCAAGAAAAGCATGAAACCAGAGACCGCAGCGACACGGACACACAATATGGCAGACTGAGCTGGAGCGGTTGGAGGCCGGGAGTGCAGATGTTTCAGGTGGAGCACAAACGGGACATTGTCTTGGAGCTGGACAGGGGTCAGGCCAGGGTCAGTTAATCAGAGACATGCAGCTCTGAGACCGAGGCGCTGCTCTTCCACCTCAGGCCACAGAACAAAGGAGCGAGAATGAGGCTGGAAACTATGCAGGAGTAGAACGACAGTCTTGTGCACTCTGGGGACTTTGTATTCCAATTCCAATGTGGTTTTACTGCAAATGGCAAATAAAATAATCTGAATCCGACACAACCTCAGAACTGTAGGCCTGTGGTGTTCTGCTGAAGAGTAATGTTCATAAAGCCTAAAAGGGAAATAGATGCAGTAGACACTGCTAATGGCTAACAGTGACTAAGGCCTGGGCTGCACACTTTGATGACCACAGCATAATAATTAATCATCAATACATCATTTATGTATAAAGTCTTTTGGAGATCTACTTATAATAGTCATGCCCTTAGAGACTGTTCTAACTCATCATAAACCTGCACTGTTACATTTCTATTGTGTGGACTTAGTGTGCATGTGTCAAAGGCAGATATGTTGGGATATTTTATGAAAACGAAACAAAAATTTTAACTTTATAACCAAGCCAAAGTGTAGTTTTAGACTTGCCGATGGCAATAAAAGAATTTTGATTCAGATTCATTATAAACCAATGCATTTGTTCAGATACAGTGTTGAGGGAGTTGCATTGAAAAGGGGATTAGTTACACGTTACTGTGATAAAATAAAGAAAATACATCTTAGTTATTGCATCAAGAAGGAATTAACTTGGTTGAAATATAAATTAATTATATGTGCCTTCATCTCTTATTTAACCATTTTCAACAACAGAAATGAACTGTTGCTGCTGATGATGAATGAATGAGGTTTTCGTGAAGCAGAACTGTGATTGCGACACCATAAAGCCAGCTGTAGCTGGTGTTGCAAGTACTTAGTATTTGTCAGTAACTGTAATCCAGTTAGGTTATTGGTTCAAGTAATGCACTAAATGAATAACTTGAAAATATTCTGCGTTCATCCCAGCACTGACCAGAGTGTTAACGTTTTAAAAACAGACCCATATGAATGTGTGTAAATATATTTCAGTCTGGATATCCGGGCGGATTTACCCCGATCACGTTGGGATGCTGCAGCCGCCGCAGGAGCACCATCTCCTTCTTCAGTTTATAAGCCACGAGTTGGCGACACGCGTCGGGCTCGTTAAACTCGTCCACGCACTTGCCCATGTCGATGCCCTGCTCATTGACCAGCTTCAGGGCCACAGACAGACCTCCGGCCAGGTTTGCTTTCACCACGAGTTTAGTGTAGCCCGAGCCGAGCACCTCCAGTGCCTGCATGTCCAGCAGAGAGTCACAGCCCAGCTCATCTCCAGAGGAGAGCTGGTCCCACACTCCGAGGTCCCAGGTGGAGTCCACATTCTGCCCGGAGAAGCGCTCCTCATCCTCGGGGAGAAACAGCAGTGGGACGATCTCTTTACGTCTCTCAGAAAGTTGAGAAATCAGCGCCTGTGGGAGCTGCTGCTGCTCGACACGGGTCACGTTGGACACGACCCGAGCCCCGAACTGCTGCACACTGCTGATCAGCAGAGACACTAGGACAGACAGAACCACGAAGGCCAGAAGAGCAGCCGCACGGACAGAGCTGCCCATAATGGTCAGACGCAGCCCGCCGGGCTCCAGCGCGCAGCACAGCAGCTTCCAGTGAAAGTTTAGTGAGTGAAGTCGTGCTGCAGACGTGAGCAGCTCCTGGTTTCTCCTCCCGGGAACTCCCTCAGAGGACCGCGGTAAAGTGGCCCTGCATTTCGTCGGGAGCGGTAAAGAGGTCCGCACTTTGAATGCGGTTGGCTCTTTTATGCTGTTACTTACGGTAAATGTGGAAAGGGAAGCCGTGACGACGAGAAAGCTAAATGCTTTATCTTTTAAAAAATCATTTAAAAAGAACAAAAAGAGGTTTGCGAATACTTTCACTGCCCACTTGTTCAATAAGATGCTCTCTACCACTGTGTAAAATATCATTCACTTTTACTGTAGAAATCCAGAGAAAATGGGGGTCAAAGTGTGCACAAGTGGTCCCAAAAGCACTTTTTAAAATTCATTTTAAAAAAATCTAAAAAAGTTCCCTCACTAAAAAAAATATCATTCACTTTTACTGTGAAATCCAGAGAAAATGGGGGTCAAAACTACTTCCATCTGCAACACTTGTTCACTGGGATGCCCTCTACCACTGTTCCCTCACTACTTTCACTGCACACGGTGTATAAATATCATTCACTTTTACTGTAAAATCCTGAGAAAATGGGGGTCAAAGAGTGGCATTTTGGTCCCATAAGCACTTTTTAAAATTCATTTTAAAAAAACTAAAAGTTCCTCACTACTTTCATCTGCATCATTGTTCACCATGGGGGGGGGGGGGGGAAGGGATGCCCTCGACCACTGGTAAAAATAATCATTCACTTTTACTGTAGAAATCCAGTGAAAATGGGGTCAAAGTGTGCCATTTTGGTCCCAAAAGTCACTTTTTAAAATTAATTTAAAAAAACACTAAAAAGTTCCCTGAAACACATCACGCACATTTGTTCACTGGGATGCCCTTTACCACTGTGTAAAATATCATTCACTTTAACTGGGTAAGAAATCCCAGAGAAAATGGGGGTCAAAAGTGTGCCATTTGGTCACGAAAAGCACTTTTAAAAATTCATTTTAAAAAAATCAAAAAAGTTCCCTGACTACTTTCACGTCACATTTGTTCACATGGATGCCCTGTACCACTGTGAAAATATCATTCACTATTACAGTAGAAATCCAGAGAAAATGGGGGCTAAAGTGTGCCATTTTGTGTCCCAAAAGCAAGCACTTTGTAAAATTCTTTTAAAAAAATCTAAAAAGTTCCCTCACTACATCACTGCACACTTGTTCACGCAGGATGCCCTCTACCACTGTTGTAAATAATCATTCACTTTTACTGTAGAATCCAGAGAAAATGGGGGTCAAAGGTGGCCATTTTGGTCCCAAAAGCACTTTTAAAAATTAATTTTTAAAAAAAACTAAAAAAGTCTCCCCTGACTACCTTTCACTGCACATTTGTTCACTGGGATGGCCCTCCTATCCCACTGTGTAAAATATCATTCACTTTACTGTAGAAATCCAGAGAAAAGGGGGGTCACAGTTTGGCCATTTTGGTCCCAAAAGCACTTTTTAAAAATCATTTTAAAAAAATCTAAAAAAGTTCCCTGACTGATTTCACTGCAAACTTGTTCATACATGGAATGCCCTCTACCACTGTGTAAAATATCATTCACTTTTACTAGTAGAAATCCAGAGAAAAATGTGGTCAAAGTGTGCCATATGGTCCCAAAAGCACTTTGTAAAAAGTCATTTTCAAAAAACCTAAAAAAGTTCCCCTCACTACTTTCACGTGCAGCCACTTTGTCACTGGGATGCCCTTATACCACTGTGTATAGTCATTCAACTTTATTGTAGAAATCCAGCAGAAAAATGGGATGAGCAAAAGTGTTGACCAGTTTTGTCCAAAAGCACTTTTTAAATTTCAGTGTAAAAAAACTAAAAAAGGTTCCTCCCTACGGCACTGCACACTTGTTCACAAAGGATGGCACTCTACCACGGTGTAAAATATCATCACTTTTAAACTGTAAAATCCAGAGAAAATTGAGGGTCAACAGTGTGCCATTTTTGGTCCCAAAAGCACTTTTTAAAATTAATTTTAAAAAAAAACTAAAAAGTTCCCTGACTACTTTCACGGCACATTTGTTCACTGGATGCCCTCTACCATGTGACAATATCATTTTCACTTTTACTAGTACGAAATCCATAAAAATGGGGTCAAAGTGTGCCATTTTTGTCCAAAAAGCACTTTTTAAAAAATCATGTTTAAAAAAATCTAAAAAAGTTCCCTGACTGATTTCACTGCAAACTTGTTTCACTGGGATCCCTCTATATCTACCACTGGTGTAAAATATCATTTCACTTTTACTGTAAAATCCAAGAAAATGGGGGTCAAAGTGTGCCATTTTGGTCCCAAAAGCACTTTTTTAAAAATCATTTTCAAAAAAACTAAAAAGTTCCCTCACTACATTCCTGCACGACTTGTTCACTGATGACCCTAATACCACTGTGTAATATTCATTCACTTTTATTGTAGAAAATCCAAGAAAATGGGGTGTCAAAGTTGCCATTTTGGTCCCAAAAGCACGTTGTAAATTCATTTTAAAAAAATTCTAAAAAAGTCCTGACTGATTTCACTGCACGCCTTGTCCACTGTGATTGCCGCTCTAGCCACTGTGTAAAAATATCCTTCACTTATTTAACTGTAGAAATTCAGAGATATTGGGTCAATAACACTGGCGCTTGACGTGGAACGACACATCACTGGGGGAAGGACGCCGACACGTGTGGGAGTTGAGCGATACGACTAGATATAGTCGACCTACCCTCCACACAGCAGCTTGGGCTCTATGGACCCAACTCCTTGAGAGGGTTGGACCTCGCACTTGTCTTGTGTTTTCCCGCGGGGACAATTCTCTCATTGTTGTGGACGGCCCTAACGGGCCTAACTAGCAGGGCAGAGTACCCGGCATTCTTTGGAGTTCCTTGTGAGTGTACTGAACGTCCCCGCCCGGGGACTCACGGTATTCCCCTGGGGGAACTGCAACGCCCATGTGGAAACCCAGGAACACTTGAGAGGGGTGATCGGGAAGAACGGGCCCCCCTTGATCTGAACCCGAGCGGATTTCAGGTTGTTGACTCTGTGCCCAGTCACAGTTTTGGTCCAATCACGAAACACCATTTTCCGAGCACAGGTAATCAGGTGGCACCAGACACCCTAGGCCGGTGGTCGATGATCGATTGTTTTGTCGTAGTCATCTGACGCTTCGACCTTGGTGTTCTCGACACTCGGGTAAAGAAGGGGCGGAGCTGTCGATCCGATCATCACCTGGTCGTGAGGTTGGATCTGCTGGCAGGGGAAGAAGCCGGTCAGACCTGGCAGACCCCAAGCGTATTGTGAGGGTCTGCTGGGAACAGTCTCGCTGAGCCCCGTGTCAGACTGACCTTTCAACTCACACCTCCGGGATATCCATGATGGTCTGGGGACTGCCTGAGGCAGCTGTCCAGTACCCTCGGCATGACAAGCGTGCCCGCCGGACCCCGCCGGCTGTAGCAGAGGCAAAAACCGGGACTGGGAGTAGTTCGGTAGAGTCCATTGTAGCATCGACTATCGTTCGATTCCCATGAAGAGATTCAGGCAAAAACCAATACGGCGCTCAGAGGTGGAACAGTTTCTTTGCCAACACCATGTACGGTGCGGGTGGAAGCTTGCTGACACTCGACTGGGAGATTGTCGGGCGGTGGAGAGGAAATACTATTTGAGGTTGCTCCTCAATCCCCCCGTCCACGTCCTCTGTTACAGAGCAGAGGCTGAGGATGTTGGGGGCGGATACAGCCATCCCCTGCTGAGGTGACCAAGGTGGTGGCAGCCGCCATGGTGCAAGGCTCCGGTTGGATGAGATACCGTTGTCCCTGGGGGGGTGAGTATCTAAAGTCTCTGGATGTGTTGTAGGATCTGTCTTGGCTGACTCCTCTTTGCAGACAGTGCGTGGCGATCGTGGGCGGTGAGCAATGGAGTGGCAGACCGGGTGGTGGCCCTTCTCTTCAAGAAGGGGGACCGGAGGGTGTTTCCAATTATCGTGGATCTACACTCCTCAGCCTCCCCGGTAAGGTCCTACGCCAAGGTACTGGAGAGGAGGCTAACGCCGATGGTCGAATCTCGATTCAGGAGGAGCATTGTGTTTTTCGTCCCGGTTGCGGAACACTGGACCAGCTCTATACTACTCCATCGATACTCGAGGGTCATGGGAGTTCGCCCAACCTGTCCACAGTGCCCGTTGTGGAAGTGGAGAATGCGATCGACTGTGTTCCCCCGGGTGTCCCTTTTGGGGGGGTTATCCGGAGAACGGGGTCCGGGGTCCGGGTCCTCTGCCTGAGGCCATCCGATCCCTGATACGGAGCCCAGAGCTGTATTCGCATTGCCGGGAGTCCGTCAACCTGGTCCCGAGTGATGTTGCCTCCGACAGAAGGGCTGCCCTTTGTCACCCGGTTCTGTTCACTGTGTTAATGGACAAGAATTTCAATGCGCAGCCTGGGGGTCAGAGGGGTCCGTTTTCGGAGACTCACATGTCTGCAAACAGCAGAGATGAATCTCAGCTGTTTGCAGACCATGTTGTCCTGTTTGGCTCCAACAAACCAGACATCAGCCATGCCCACCCCCTCTGGGGCGGGTTGCAGCCGAGTGTGAGGCTGGGTTGAGAATCAGCACGTCCAAATCCGAGGCCATGGTGCTCGACCGTAAAAAGGTGCCTGCCCTCTACAGGTGGGTGGAGAGGTCCTCTCCTACAAGTGGAGGAGTTCAAGTATCTCGGGGTCTTGTTTAACAAGAGTGAGGAAGAAGGAGCGGGTTGAGTTGAACAGGCGAATCGGTGCATGCGTGAGCAGTGATGCGGTCGCTGTATCGGACGTTGTGGTAAGAGGGAGCTGAGCCGAAAGGCAAAGCTCTCTACTTAACCGTCAATCGTCGTTCCCATCCCTCACCTAGTCATGAGCTTTGGGTATAGACCCAGAATTTAAAATGAATTTTAAAAAGTGCTTTTGGTACCACTTGTGAACACTTTGACCCCCATTTTCTCTGGATTTCTACAGTAAAAGTGAATGATATTTTACACAGTGGTAGAGGGCATCCTGTTGAACAAGTGTGCAGTGAAAGTAGTGAGGGAACTTTTTTAG